GACGGTGATGGTGATGTTGTACTCGGCTCTTTTCTCTCTGTCCAGAGAGCTATCGTTTTACCAGGGTGTAGTAATTCTCTACAGATGGCTTCAGGACGAAGGGGAGATTGTCTTGGATGGAGCACACCATCTTTGCATTGTTTCCTGAATCTCTGTCTCGAATCCTAAAAACAGCTATGACTGTCTCAGGTGAGTTTTCTTTAATTGCTGTAGTAAGTGATGACATGAGTAGTTCTGGTGGATTGTCATTTATATCTGTTACCTGAACCACCATCGTACGTTTTCCAGAAAGTCCTCTGCCATCTTTGGCCTGAATAGTTAATGTATAAATTTGCATTGCCTCATAGTTCAATTCAGCTTTAAATGAAGATTGCCAGATGTTAGATTGATTTGAAACGTTTTGAGTATTCTTTCAGTAGCATAAAAAAATGCATAAACTATTTCCCCGTTACTTCCGGTATCTAAATCTCTAGCTGACATGGTGACAACCAGAGAGACAACAAGGCTATCCTCAGGCACCTGCACCTTGTAGAGAGACTGTACAAATTCATGGGCGTTGTCATTGATGTCCAAAACCAGGATGCATACCAGGGCAGTTCCAGAGCTGGGTGGAGAGCCACCATCCTAGGCGGTGAGGAGTAAACTGAGCTCAGGCACCTCTTCTTGATCCAGCAGTCTATCCAGCACCAATTCAGGATAGATAATCCCCTCCCCACTATCATGGACATTAATGTGGAAATAGGCATTGGGGCTGATGGTGTAGTTTCTCAGGTTGTTTGTTCCAACATCTGAATCCTGTGCACTTTCTAGGAGAAATGCTGCCCCTGGAGTGGTAACTTCTAATATTTTCAAGGGAATCTCTCTATCTAGAAATACTGAAGAATGATCATTGATGTCTCTGACCCATAATTCAGCACGGAAAATCTGAAGAGGTTTTTCCAGTAACAACTGGAAAGGCAGCACACAAGGCTCTGTGGGGCCACACAGGTCCTGTCAGTCTAATTTCTCATTTAAAAATAAATCACCAGTAAGCGGATCGAGTAGTAAAAATCCTGTATTCTGGTCTGAAATGATTCTAGGTCCCCGGGCTAAGGATTCCCCCAACCACGGGTCATTTGCTAGGTTGGCCAGAAAGGTGCCTTTTTCAGCTTCCTCTTCCACAAAATACAGTAGTGCTTCCCCACCAGCCCAAGACACTTGCAGAAATACACAAAGAAATAGTACTTGCCTTTGCTGCACAGCACGCTCCACTCTGGTCTCCATTCTTTGTTTAACCAGTCTTCAAAAAACACTTTTTCTCGGCCTCGAGCAATTCAGAAATGGCATCAGCTGAATCCTTAGAAATGAGCTGGATCATAGCAATGCTTGCGGGGAGGGATCCCCACTTTCTCCCAACACCTATTACCACGGCTTCCTTTCCTCGACTTTTCTAGTCTGGTCAGCTTTCCTCTTAACACTGGAATCTGCAACATTCTTTATGCGAATATTTTGTTCTCTTTTTAACCTGCAGCGCCACCTTGCGTTTTGTGGATGTTTCTCCCAATTTCAGGAATAGAACAAAAAGATGGCGGATTAAAGGAGCTGGAGTAGGATTTTTTTTTCCCCCTTAGTGTCTTTGCTATTTCATTTCATATTTTCCCTCAACTGGCCACAGTAATCCTAGTTTGTAAATGCTTACATCGTATCCGTCTCTGTGAGTCTACATTCGCAGAAAAATAAATCAGTCTTTTTCCTTAATTTAGGTGCACAAAATTAAACTCTGGCTTCCCACCAGCAGTTAATCCTAAGAAAACCTTTTCCTGTTTTTAAGATTGATAGTAAAGAATAAATAAGAAAATGAAGTCTCCATCAAAAAGTCAACATATATTGGTTGAGAGCCTTTTGTTTATTTGTAAACTGCTTACCAATAATGCTGTACACCCTTCAGAGTAAATGGCCTTTTTTCAGTTTCTTGTGAATTAAATAATCCTTCCAGTTTCAAGGTCTTCACTCTTCACCCGCAATATTTTTTGGAACATTTTCTACCCCCCATCCTCCACCCTTCACCTGATTTAAGTACTATGTATATGTTAGTGTTCACATGACTGGCATTTCCAAGAGTATGCAATGAATACTCTTAAAATTAATAGTAGCAAGTAGGTGTCATTCTTGCCTTTGTGGAAGCGCTCCTAGTATTTCATCTTTAACTATGATGGCTGATCTCAGTTTGGGGTAAATGCTCTATATTTTGTATCAAAAAAGTTTTCTTATTTTTCTTTATCTTTAATATTTTAGAGTAATTTTTGACATATGTTGAAATTTATTCTTCAGCTTTTTAATTCTTGAGTTCTTGATATAAATGACATTTAACCATTACATATTATTGTTTTAATGCACAGATGGATTTGATGAGCCAGCATAGTTTTAGGATTTTTCTGGCCCTTGCTGCTCTGTGTGTATACATGAGTGTGTGTGTTTAGCTTCTATGGTTTTGGTATTAAACTATCCTGGCCTTGTAGTATGGATTAGGAAGCTTTCTATCTATTTTTATGTAACAGAATAGTTTTTATAATTATAATCTATTTCTACATGCTTTATTGCAACTTGCCTTTTAAATGGGTTGGGTTTGGGTGGTAAATCTATGATTATCTTTTCCATTTTACTTTTGGTTATTAATCTGTTCGGGTTTTGTTTCTTTTTAAAGTAATTTGTAGTTTATTTTTAAAAACCATTTATTTTATCTGGATTTGCAAACATTTTGGTATTATGTTTTCATTGCATTATTTATCTCTAGTTATAACTCTATTCTTGTTAGTAATATTTAGTACTTTATCTCCTTTTTATTCTTTTTTTTTGTTTTTGGCAGTATAGGACATTTAAAAAATTTTTTTATTATTTGGCTACACTGGGTCTTAGTTGTGGCACACGGTATCTTTAGCTGTGGCATGCGGGATCTAGTTCCCTGACCAGGGATCGAACCTGGGTCCCCTGCATCGGGATCGTGAAGTCTTAACCACTGGACCACCAGGGAAGTCCCCTCCTTTTTATCCTTGAGGAGACTTGCAAGATCTCTATTATACTGATCTTTTAAAATACACTTTTTTCAAATAATCTTTGACCTTGATTCAAAATCAAATAATACTAAAAGGTTTATAAGAAAATACAGTAGTTTTCTGCACTTTCCCTCCTCATTTTCCTAGTTCCCTTACCAATAAGGAGACTTTTTTTTTTTGAGGTAACATTGGTTTATAACCTTATTTAAGTTCCACGTATACATTACATTTTGACTTCTGTATACACTATGATGTGTTCACCACCAAAAGTTTAGTTTTCAACTACACAGTTGACCCCCTTTACACATTTCATCCTACCCCTACACCTCTTCTCTGGTGGCCACTACTCTGTTCTCTATATTTTTTTGTAATTAAAAAAAATTTTTTTTTTGCCACGCCACGTGGCATGTGGGATCTTAGTTCCCCGACCAGGGATCAAACCCACACCCCCTGCATTGGAAGGGCAGAGTCTGAACCATTGGACTGCCAGGGAAGTCCCACTACTCTGTTCTCTATATCTATATGTTTGTTTTTGTTTGGTTTGGTTTGTTAGTTTATTTTGTTTTTTTGGTTTTTTATTTTTCACATATGAGTGAAATCATACAGTATTTGTCTTTCTCCTTCTGACTTATTTCACTTAGGATAATATCCTCAGGGTCCATCCATGTTGTAGCAGATGGCAAGATTTCATCTTTTTTGTGCTGAGTAGTATTCCATTGTATGCGTGTGTGTCACATCTTCTTTATCCATTTATCTGTCAATAGGCACTTAGGTTGTTTCCATATCTTTGCTATTTTGAATAATGCTGCAATGAACATGGGGTGAATATATCTTTTTAAATTAGTGTTTTCATTTTCTTTAGGTAAATATCCAGAAGTGGAATAGCTGCATCATATTGTAGTTCTATTCTTAGTTTTTTGAGGAATCTCCATACTGTTTTCCATAGTGGCTGCACAAATTACATTCCCACCAACAGTATATGAGGATTCCCTTTTCTCCATATCCTCTCCAACATTTGTTATTTCTTGCCTTTTTGATAATAGCCATTCTATTGGGTGTGAGATGATATCTCACTGTGGTTTTGATTTGCATTTCCTTAAAATTAGGGATGGTTGAATATCTTTTGATGCGGCTGTTGGCCATCTCTTTGTCTTCTTTGGAAAAATCTCTGTTCAGATCCTCTGTTCATTTTTAAATCAGGTTGTTTTGTTTTTGTTGAGTTATATGAGTCTTTATATATTTTGGATATTAACCCCTTATTAGATATATGATTTGCAAATATCTTCTCCCATTCTTTAGGTTGTCCTTTTGTTTTGTTGATGGTTTCCTTTGCTGTGCAGAAGCTTTTTAGTTTGATGTAGTCCCATTTGTTTATTTTCATTTTTGTTTCCCTTGTCTGAAGAGACATATCCAGGAAGAAATTAAGACCAATATCAAAGAGCATACTGCCTATGTTTTCTCCTGGGAGTTTTATGGTTTCGGGTCTTACGTTCAAGTCTTTAATCCATTTTGAGTTGATATTTATGTATGGTGTAAGATAGTGGTCTAGTTTCATTATTTTGCATTTGGCTGTCCAGTTTTATCCCATGTCCCCTGCATTGGCAGGCAGATTCTTAACTACTGCATCAGCAGGGAAGTCCCACTTTTTTTTTCTTGAAGTTAATGATTGCCTTGCCTTTTCATTTGCTTGGTTTTCTTTAGATATGTCACCTATTCTTCTCACACTTCCAATTCCTCTCAATACAATTTTCCACATGGTCATTCCCATGTCTCCTGAGATATCAATTCTCCTTAAAATTGAGTGGTTGCTCCCTACATCTGCTGCATAGGTCTCATCCTGGAACTTTCCTTTGCTGTCATTCTTGGAATTCCCTTTGCCTTTTATTCTGATTAGGTTTCCTATTTCAAGGATTTTATTCTTCCTCTTTTTTTATTTATTCTATAGCTTTAAGAGATCACATCCTCCAAGAGTTTCATCTGATTGAAGATATGTCAGGGGACTTGCTGGTGATATCCTTCGAAATGCCTGTCTCTTAAGTCCTACAGCTCCAAACTGGACTAGTTGTTCACTATACTGGAGACAAGTGTAATCCTGGGATCATCCTTCAACATCATGTGGAGATTCATTTTACTTGTTCTGCTTTGGTTTTTGTTTGTTTGTTTTGTTTTGTTTTAATATTTATTTATTTGGCTGCACCGTGTCTTAGTTGTGGCACGTAGGATCTTCATTGCGGCATGTGGGATCTTTAGTTGCAGCATGCGGGCTCTTAGTTGTGGCATGTGGGATCTAGTTCCCTGACCAGGGATCGAACCTGGGCTCCCTGCACTGGGAGCATGGAGTCTTAACCACTGGACCACCAGGGAAGTCCCTCACTTGTTCTGCTTTGGATCATCGCTTTTCGCTTTCTTCTTACTTCCTCTCTCCTAGATTACTCTCACATTTTGATAGATATCTTCTAGTAGTTTCCAGAGAACAGTGTATGAGAGGTAAATTTTGTTGTGACCTTGAGTGTATTAAATTATCTTTATTTTACTCTCAAACTTGATTGTAAGTTTGACTGATTATAGAGTTTTAGGTTGGAAATAATTTTTCTTCAGAATTTTAAAATATTTTGTCCATGAACTCTAAACCAACGTGTTTGTTAAGAAGTCTAAAGTGAATTTTATTTTATATCTTCTTTTTGAGACCTGTATTTTTAGTTCTTCTTGTAGTATATTGTCATTGTCCCAAACATTTGAAAATTAAACACTGATGTGTCTTTGAGTTTATTTTCATCCATTGTACAGGACAATTGGTAAGCAGTTTCATCTAGGAAACTAATTTCCTCCTGCTCTTAGAAATTTTCTATTTTCTCCAATTTACCCTGTTTTTTTTGCTTTGCTTTGTTTTTATTTCTTTTTTTTCCACTGAGAAAAGGGTTTTAATAAAGTTTTTTATCAATTATATAACTATTTGGAAAAAGATAAAATTAAGATCTATTCCTTACACCATACTGCTTTGTTTTTATTTCTATATTTCTTCTTAGAAACTTTCTTTAGGAGTCTCATTCAGGTGTCTGTTCTTGATTTAGTTTGGGAGACTAAAGAGCTCAGTAATAGTTTTGAGCGTGTTATCAGGGCTTGTCCATTCTGATTATTACTCTAAGGTGAACTGGGAGCTCTTGTTGTTGGAGAAACCTCAGTGTCAGTGTGATTAGGTCTTTTCACTTCGACTGGTCAGATTCCCCAACT